CATCAGGTTCCTTTCTGCCCAGCTCTCCAGGGTGGCCAGGTCTTGCTGAATGGCAGAAGGAAGATGCAATCACACCAGAAGGGTGATGCAATAAAGATCTCACACTTGTGCCTGGCTTTTACAACCAGACATGCACTTGCTTTTCTTTATCACCTGGTATAAAGACAAACAGGGAGGTTCGGGATTAAAGACTGAGCAGTACTGTATTTCAAGAGACTGAAGCAGCAGCAATGTTTTATCATACACTGAACTTTTTTTTTAAATTTGTAATTAAAATTATCCACACACCTACTTGGTTTAGCTGGATTTAGCATATTTTACCTTGGGAAAGTCTGTGTCAAAGTGCTCTGTACTGTAATTTAAAAAAAAAATCTAAAAGCCTCATATTTTCCCTCCTCAAAAGGATTTGTGTGTGTGCGTGTGTGATTACAAGCCAGCTAGCAAGGACAACCTCTAAGCTTATTACTGGCCAAGATAACTTTTATTACAACTCTCCAGACCTTGTGGGTAGTGAGCATGCTGCTTTTTCAATCCCATGAGTGTGCAGGCTGAATCAGATGTCAAGCATGGCCAAAAACCAGCACCGTACTTCCCCCAAAACATCTGGGAAGGCTTCCCAGAGAAGTTAATTCTGCCTCGGCAGCTGGCCTGGATTCTTCGAGTTCTCTGCGGTGTCTGTGGGAAAAGGTTCGGGCAGGCCAGAGTCACCAGCCAAGATCTGCACACCCACTCTGCTCCTGATTTCTGGTGAGAAACCAACCCAACGCCATAGGCAGTATTCTGCATGGATGTTCAGAGAAAGCTGTCACCAATGTCCTCACACCAAATCTAGTGCCTTGCCCTGAAGCCAGCCAGAAACTCCAGTCCCTACCTGTTGGTAAAATTAATTTTCAGACAAGGAAGCAGTAACAAGGGTCAAAGGAAACCCTGTGCTGTGGTTAGCTGGAGACACACACAACACTCTCTTCCATTTTGGCCCCAACTTTGCAGACCAACAAAGATGATACGTAGGTCCTATTCAACATCATCATGCAATTCCTGGACTAAACAAGAAAGACCTGAGTGATGAGTATCCCACTGCTTGGGAGAACAGCAGGCTCAGATTATGAGCCTGGTTGAAATCAGGTTATCAGCAAATAATGGGAGCTGGTAGGATAAGCAATAGGAATTTCACTCCTTGGCAAAGTGTTTCAAAAAGTCTGAAACGATGAAGCTGCCTGCTTCATCAAAGGTTCAACCCAACCACTGGCTGCAATTCAGCTCACAGGTAACAACACTACTAGTTCATCAGTAACCCTGAGCTTGTACTTGGAGACATCCATGAATGGTACATTTATCATCTGAGTAGGCAAGGAACCAGGTCTCATCCCGCCCAGCAATCACCTGGTTTCACGTCTTATCTTTAGATCTCAGAGTGTGGCAATGGCTAACCCTGACACCATCAGAGGTCAGAGAATTCAGAATGGTCTAGGTGGCTTAAATCCCTCTCTTTATTCTTGAATTAAGTTTCAAAGGGAGCTGATAACCCATGCCACAAAAGTGATTCAGCTCTTTTTATAGCACTTAGTGGTTCACCATGCAAAGCCACAAGAATGAGGTCCTCCAGATAAAGCCATCTCACCAGGCTCCTCTTCGCATCAGTACCTCTCTCTTTCTTCCCTTTCTACTGCTTAGTGACAGCTTAGGTGTCTCAGACTTTGATACCTCTGCTCATTGGCATAAAGGATGACTTTTGGTCTCCAAAGCATTACGTAACCAGTACACACATTGACCAGCACTGCCCAGCTATTCCATGGCTGATACTGGGAATGGAAAGCTCTGTGACTCCCTGACATCTTCCCTTAACACCAGAAAGAGCCTTTCTCAAGCAAGTAAAAATGAACACATCAAAGCAAATGGGGACAAGTAGAGGGGGACACAAGAAATCTTCACAGCTATCAAAGATACTGACATACTTTCTCATTAAGTCAACCCATGTCTCATTGCTTTGAAATCTCCAAGGACCTTATGGATTCTGCTGTTCTTAATCTAAAGACTCTGCTCAGCTCAATCCCTGCGTGTTTGATCCCTCATATTGCCCTATTAACCTGACACGTCATTCTCGAGAGTAATCCCTTGTCACCTTCTCCAGGTGCATCCCTTGGTTTTGAACATTTCTGCTCAGAGACCCCAAGAAAGTTACTGGTCCCCCACGTTCACCATAAGCAGCTGGAGCAGCGGGGAGAGGAGGTGGAGTGCAGTTTGTAGCACTGCAGCTACCAAAAGAAGAGTTATTCTGAAGTTTACAGCCATAAACAAAACAAGAGGCCAAACTGGGGTAAATCCTTCCTCCTGTACACATCTGCATATTTAAAAAGAATAAAAAAAGAGCTATTCCATCTTTTTATGGTCCTGTAATAACAATAAGTTAACTATGTGAGAAACTTTCCTTTAAGGAATGCCATGTCTGCAAGAGTTGACAACAGTTTTAAAGTTTCACCTGATAAAATACAGGAAACAGTATAAAGCAGCAGAAAAGATGAAAACCATCACCTCAGTCTTGTGGATTACTTAAACATTTGTCACATTCCTAAGGAAATCCACAGCTCTGGTGCACAAGGGTATCCGGCCCCAACGTAGCAATTCTCTCTTTTCAAGCCACCTGTACCTTGTGAAGCTGGTGAACCACATCCTTACAATTAAGGTTTAATGTTTTTCTCCATTATAAAAGGTGAGTGATCCATTGGTCTCTGTTTTTATTTCTTTTAAAAAGGGAAATCTGCAATTCTAGGGACATTACAAAGTTCTGTGAACCAAAGGATCTTATATTTCACATGGTGGGTCCCAAATTACGTTCCTTCCTCGGTTTCCTACATAGGAGTCTCAAAAAACAGTCAGTGAACAGTTAAAGAATGAGATGTTGCATTAGCAGAGGAGGAGACCATCTTTGGGCTGAGCAGCTGTGAGGACATGCTCATGCCTGGTTTCTGAAAGGAAAGGTGATGTGCCACCTCATATTGCTTAAAGCCACTTGACTGTGAACACTTCATTCACAGCGGTGGCAGCACAAGAGTTTATATCAGACAAACAAGACCAGGGCTGTTTCTTAGGCAGCAGCTGGATGGAACTTCTCCCTTTTGCACAAATAAACTGCAGTTTGCCTATGGCATGATATCTATTTCAGTTTGGGAAAGCAAAATCAGAAAGATCACGAGAAGCTTCATTTTATTTGGATGTAAACCAGTATCTGACCTCCAAAAGCTGTCAGAAGTACATCCTAACACTGGGTTTTCAAAAAGTTTTACTTACTTGTATTCTAAGAGTAGGTTTTCAAAAGGTTTTACTTACTTGTATTTTAAGAGCAGCCACTGAACAAACCAGAGTCCTACAAGGATCATGCCGTTGATTTCACAAATAGAAAAAGCCCATTGCACCCGATCAAAGTGATCAAAAAATGCATCTGGTAGGGGAGGCTGCACCTCCTTGGGAGGCACTCGTTCATGAACGACTGAGATAGTCACTGTGGTAAAGACGAAACAAAAAAGTGCATAAATAAAAGCCAGGAAAGTCTTGCCCCATTCCATAGGATACTGTGAGCGCTCTGGCTCTGGCATGGGGATCTTTATCATCTCCTTCTTATACCCGTTTGGCATCCCATTCAGCTTCATTTTACTGCCAAAGCCATTCTCGCGCGCGGCGCTGCTCACGCTGACACGGATGTGCCCGTTGACGTGCCCGTTTTTGTGAGCCTCAATGTGGTGAGCCATTTTTAAAGTTTCAATCATGTGCAAGAGCCGCTGCCCACTGTCAGAAGACACCCGGGAGAGAGGCGTCTTCTTAAAATCCTCCTCTGTGAGGTTGATCAAATCCTGCCCAGTGAAGCTCTTCAGCGGCTCACAATACTCCGGCACAGCGTTTTCCATTAGCCAATTTGTCACCTCCTCAGGTGACCACAACACCACTTCTTTCATCTCGCCAGGCAGTTGGGGCACAGTCTGACATCGATTTTAAATTGGGCAGCAGTCACTGCGACTCCAGCATGTCGGAAAGCTTCTCCTTGGCTTCATCTTGTCTGAGGAAGTAGTTTGGCAAGAGGTGAGTCCTTGTTTCTAACCATCCGATATGAGCATCCGGGCGCTGTGGCAAGCATAGGAAACAGTTCACTTCATATTCGTGTTAGCATTCTTCTTCCTGGGGAGGAGAAAAACCCAAAACCAGTCATTAGGACAGCATTCACTAGGAGTTTGCAATTCATGTTTAAAGACAAAATTACTGCAAAAGAACACCATGGAAAAGACTAACTAATTTGAGCTCTAGCTTTATACACACAGCGCGGTCCCTTCCAAGCTTGCTAGGGATTTCTCAAGAGCTTTAACACTTGTATATTAAAAACACCACTTTGCAGCTGTGGGAAGGACTCCTTCCTGCTCTGTATTTATTAAATTTTCTACTGTTATGCAGCTCTGGTCCATAACCAGTACCCAAACTCCTCTATAAATCATACTACTAATGCATTTAATGATCTACAGTGCACTCGTTTAGTGTTATTCATGTCTCAAACCTTCTCTCCCCTTTACAGACTGGTATCTTAACGCAACATGTTGTACTTAGTTATTGAATAGGAAGCCTGTTTTTTATTCTGCAAGGCAAAAGTATCTAGTGTACCACAAAAAAATGCTTTTCTACACGTCAGCAACACACACACACACACAAAAAAAAGTATATAAGCAAGGTTATACTCTCTAGACCAAAGAACCAGCAGGAAAATCAATGTCCAAACAGGTTAGCCTGAAAATAAACCAAAGCATTTAGGTTTGCAGGATTCTAACAGATGTTTATGAGCTCTTCAAGGTAAATTTTACAGTTTCCATGGTATACTGCTACAATTCAAATGTTTGTCATCAGCTAAAAAAGGAACAAGCAGAAAAATGAAAGTGAAACTTTTTTTTTTTTTTAAAAAAGGAACTAAGTAACAAACTTCTACACCTAATTAATTACAAAGACAGCTTAGAAAGCTTAGAAAAGCTGATCGCTTCCAATAAAAATACAGAAAACCAGATGTAACTTGTCAGAACCTCTTTGTGCATTTTTGACACACAGGTAGCAAAATCCTCAGCATGAGGCAGCGATCACGTGGCAGTGAACGCCACCAGCAAATTCCCAAGTTTGAGATCTTAATTCAATGAACAAATAAAACACAGTCATCCCCAGAGCAAAGACAGCTTTCCTACCCTCATCTAATTGAGGGTGGGGAAGGTCTGCAGAGGGATCCGGACAGGCTGGATCAATGGGCCGAGGTCAATTGTATGAGGATCTACAAGACCAAGTGCCGGGTCCTGCACCTGGGTCACAACAATCCCATGCAATGCTCCAGGCTTGGGGAGGAGTGGCTGGAGAGCTGCTCAGCAGAGAGGGATCTGGGGGTGTTAGTTGACTGCAGCTGAACATGATTCAGCAGAGTGTCCAGGTGGCCAAAAAGGCCAATGGCATCCTGGCTTGTATCAGGAACAGTGTGGCCAGCAGGACCAGGGAAGTCATCCTTCCCCTGTACTCAGCCTTGGTGAGGCCACACCTTGAGTGCTGGGTTCAGTTTTGGGCCCCTCACTCCAAGAAGGACATGGAGGTGCTGGAG